TTTCCTCCTCCTTGGTATTTCTACCAGAGTTTAGCATCTTAAAATTCTCCTTCTTATTTGATAAAGATTAAAAAAGGGTTAAAAGCACGTGACAACTATGATTAGCATAGGAGATTAATACTTCGGGCTAGAGTAGAAATAAAGTTAAACATGTTATAAATCATATGTGACTGTCATAAGTTATAATCGTTTGAGTATATGCAATGCATCAATATAACAGGGAAATTATCCAGATAGGAATAACTCAAGACATTAGAGCAGGTGAGTAAAATCAATGCTTATATAAAAAATATGTATCATAGTAAACAGGAATGTATAAGGATAAGTGTCAAGAACATCCCAATCTTTTAAAGATGTCATTCTTCCTTAAGATGACATGACTTCCTATACATCATTATTCAGTGCTTTGAGGGAGATAGAAGGGATGAAGGTGGTTGGGTTGAAAGTGATTGGGTTGAAGGTGGTTTGTATGGTTGAGTTAGGTGTTTGAAAGAGTCTTTGGCTTAAGGTAATGAGGGTGTTGACCATTTTTACAAATTTTGCATTGGTATGAGCATAATGTTGTGCTATCATTTTGTTCATATGGTTTAATAGAGCGATGGAGGCAGGGTCATTTGGTAGACCATGGTTTAGTGAGATAATGGTTATGGGTTGAGGGTTGAATGTGACGATTTAGAGGGATTGGTGGAATGATTCTATTTAAGAGGTTGGGAGTGTAGGCTGATGGATGGTTGTGATTATTTGAGAGTTGGGTTGGCAAGTTAGATTGTTGGTGGTGACATTGGTCTAGGTGGTGATGTAGGTCTAGGTGATTCAATGATGGGGCCAGTTTCTTCTAGGGATTGGATGACAACTTGTTGAGGTGGCGAGCTGGTGGTTGATTGAGGATTGTAAGGTATCTCCGTTAATCCTTGTAATTGTTCTTCCACAGATGGTACTTCACTAATAATAAAAAGCTTTAAGTACCATCTAGTGTCTTTTTCTACTGTTGCATATAGATTAGTCATCACCATAGATACAAAATACTACATGACAACTTGACTTAACATCTTCAAATGATGTGGTATTTCCAATGACAAGTATTGAAGTCACAAATAGCATAGCTGGAAGCTCTCGTAGAAGGCATTGATCATGTGCATTTTTGTTTACTAGGAAAGTAGCATTAGAATCATGAAAATGATGAATTTTGCATGGTTTTGTTATACATGGGCTAGATGGAATAATGCCTTCACTAAATTCTTCAGTAGAATGGTTACTAGACAATGCATGATTTTGTTGAGACTTATATGTGTAAGCAAAGATTGATTCTTGCCAATATAGGTAAGCATCAAGTTCATTGTATGAGGCATTAACATACTATCTCTTCTTTGGATTTGCTAAGATGGTTCTAGTAGGAGCTGGTCGTATATCCTTGATAGCCTCAACCTTTTTCATCTTTAACGGTTTTTTGTCAATGGCTGGGGTGCAATTTTATCAAGCACCACGAATACTTGCTTCGTTCGTTTGGAGGAAGCTTTATTCTAATTTAGCAGCATGAAAAACAGGAACAGGAGACATCTTGGACGATGACCAAAGGAATCAACATTTCCTCCCATATAAAGTCTAGTAAAGAATGAGCTTTGGACATCTTCTAGATATCGTTTGAGAGCCAATTGGATCTCTTCACTGTCTTCATAAATTTGTGTGGGTGGTGGAGAAGAGGTGGCTAGTTTAGGCTTATTGATTTTGGATTCTACGAGGGGGCATGTTACAATAGTGATTCTTAACGGTAATATGTAAGATGGCATGCATGCGAATTTGGGATAGTGTTCATGTATCCATGTGGGTATGGGTAGGTGAACGATGGCATCTACTGGAAGGTTTTTGTAGGCTTCATATGCCTTTTGAATTTGGTCATTGGGATATGAGGTGGATGGTGTGGTACATTTCTTAAGATGGTGTTGAACATGTGGGAAATCAGGTAGGTTTTGATGAGTGTAAAGGTAAGGTTCTGGTTGGTAGCCAAGGTGATATGGTAAGGTTAAAAGAGGAAAGGGGAGTGGTGTATAAGGCTTAGGTGTTTGTTTTTCGAATATGGGTACATTGGTGAGGAGTACAGTGTGAGTGAGAGTAGGTTCAGTCTCTTGCTCTAGAGGGGTTTGGTCTTGTTCTATTTCTTGGCATGAGGTTTTCCTAGGAGAAAGGGTTTGTGTTTGTAATTGGTTTAGAGGAGATGATGCACGAGGTGGTGACAAAAGAGGAAGTTCCTATTATTGTTCCTAGAGAGTGGCAAATGCAATAACAAGAATGCTTATAAAGGAATCTCCTCAAATACCATTTGGGATGATCGCTTAATGGTTATTTATTCTTTTCCTCTTGGGAGAAGGGGCAACAATAGTTATCTCTTCAGAGGTAGTAAGGCACCTTTTAACACGTCTTTGAAGCTCCTCGGTAGAAAGTCCATCATCATAGTTTTCAAATTCTTCAGGACGATCTTTAGTAGAAGAAGACATCCTCAATTTCTTTGCCTTCTTCATTTTCGACACTATTGGTCGAGTTCTTTTGGTAGATGCTTCACTCTTAGACATTTTGATCCTTTCAGCAAAGGTGGTGGAATTTTCACCAAACGAAGATTGTTCACCTCTATTTTGTCTTCTCCTTTTCTTTTTCCAAAAGTCTTTTCCCATCAAAGTCTTGTTGATTTGACGAGCTCTTAATTTCAGGCTCGTGAAAATTATTATCTTGGTAAGACCTGTAATCTTGAGAGTCTTCTTTTTGTCTAGATCCATGTGAGGTGGTGTCAATCTATTTTGCTTAGCATTGACAATCCTTTATACATTGAGTAGGGGAATTTTATCCAACTTCCTTTCCTTCAACTACATTTGTCTCACATTGTTGATGTTGAACTTTTTTCCTTGAGAGACACAACTCAATAATATGTTGTTTTTGACAGAGAAAGGAATACTTGGGGACAACATGTGCTCAATGACCCCTTGCTTGACAATCATCTTGTATATTAGAGAGGTATTATAAAAGTTTAACACACATTTAGTTAAGCCCTTATTGGATCGAAAGAGATGGACGAGGATTATATGTGGCAGGTTAAATGGGAGGCCAATCATCATGTGGTAGATAATGAATCTGTCCAGTTTAGTAACATGGTCATTGGCCCTGCTTTTGTGCAGAAAAGTCTTGAAGCAAACATTTTGAAGGACTTTTGCATAAGAGCTTAGTCAACATACTTTATTTTGAAGTTTGCACCATAAGAAGTGCATTCAATGATTTCATTTGGAGTGTACATCTTATCCTATCCTTCTTTGTAACAGTTATCAAACCTAAGGCAACCTATAGCTTCAACAATAGTCTTAAGGTTGATGATCACTTCTTGTTCGATGACCTTTGAGACGAAAATTTGGACTTTATTTCAGCATTTGTCCAAAAATGCTTCACTAGTTCTAGTAGTACTAGAGTGACCCACTTAAAGTAACTTGTGATGTCGCAGCGATGAGCATCACAGAGATTGTCATATCCATATGTTCTAAGACCCTTGAGGTGCTCAATATGAAATCTTACAAGTTTATCTTTAGTGGCATGGATGATAGAGACTTGTTTTTCTCCTGCATACACTTTATTGATGGAGATTGTAACATCTTGTTTAGCGGACATGATGGAGGATAAGGGGTTCCTTTGGGGGAAAGATAAATAGATATCTATTCTAGATATTCTAAAAAAGGAAGAATCATTGATGTTTGGTAATTGTGCCTCCTGCCAAAAGCCAGGATCCCATTGAAGCAGTTAATCCCATACATAATGTCTGTACATCTGGTTGTACAAATTGCATAGTATCATAAATAGTTATTCCAGGTATTACCCACCCCTGGAGAGTTTATAAACAAAGACAATTCTTTATTCTCTTTCTCTATGCTCAGATATATCGTAATACTAATAAGTTGATTCAATATTTCACTATCAACATCTTGACAAATTTTTCTCTCTCAATTGAGGACGATCACTCAGTTAATTACTCTCTCAAACGATATTATAGTAAATTTTGATGCATTTTATGTTTAAAATATCATTTTACATATGTATATAAATATTGATGATATAATTATTTAATCATTTATATTTACATTTGAATATCTTGTGAATGGATTGAATTGAGTTGTTATGTTTGAATTTAATGTAATGCATCAAATGTTTGGGATGAACATGGTTTGTAGTATTACGTATATGAATTCATTATTGAAAGGAAATGTCCTTGTTTCAATGGTCTAAATTACATAAATTAAAACACCATTGTTACAATTACTTGTATAATAAAATTATCAAATTTATGCAATTAAATTCATATAAAGTAATAAGAGTCATGTAATACACTTTGATTGGATACACTTAATATAAATATTTCAAAAGATGTATTTAATATTTTTTATACATTGAACTAAAATTAGTATTCTATAAATACTTTAAAATGGATTTTATATATTTGATTTAATATAAATTTATTCGTTTGAAATCATAATTTACATATGTATGTATATTGATAATAAATTCCAAAATACAAGCTTCCTATTATGTTATACTCACAAAATTTGAGTACAGCCTTTGTTATCCATAATAAATTTTCTTTTTGTCCTCCATTTGTGAAAATATATATCACTGCCTATGAATACTTTTTTTTTTGAAGAAATTAAAAACAAAGATTGTCATATTTATAAGAACTAATAATAATCCTTAACCATTTTAATGGACAAATGTTAGTGGTTGGAAACCTTAAGATATGTGTGTTCATTTATATTAAGAAGAGTACAAAACATACAAATATTACAAGCAAATGTTTGTACAAGCTCAAACTAAAGATCTGAAAACACGAATCGTAACCCATTTCTTATGGATTACAAAATGTAATTCGTTTAAACTATGAAACACAAACTTACAACTAAGTATTATGACTAATACATGTATGAAAAAGTCTTTTAATTTGTACCAAAAATTGACAGTGGAAAACTACTACTTAGTCAGTCCCCTTCCCCACTTATTTTTGAAACAGCTGACAATGTTCCCATACAAGCGGATATTAGCCCCACAACAATTATAATACCACAAATTGTTATCTGAAATAAAAAATAAATAAAAAAGGACATGTAATTATATTAGTTTCATGTCATAATATTAAAAGAATAATAATTTGAATAAAGATATAATTTTGTACCTCCGAATTTGATAATCTCCCTCTATGTAACTTGAGGAAACATGCACATGGATAAATAAGTGCCTGCCTCGAAACATGACAATATTCTAAATATTTAATATGCTTATATAAATTGCAATAATTAGAAAAGTGAATAGGAAGCTAGAGAACTTACAACTAGTATTGACAAGAAAGAACCAATTAGTGCCATCAAAGAACCTGCAATAAATTTTAGAGATAATCAAACAACAAAAGTATACGATGCTCTTTGTTTAATCATCCTTGTTCTCAAGAATATTGAGATTTGACTAACTTATGTTTTTGTCATGCTAAATGTGGATTTTATACTATGAAATCCTTGCACACAATCCATCTTTTAACTTTTACAATCCTAAACGTTGAAATAAATGTTTGAAATGTGTCAAAGCTTTATTAATTTTAATAATAAGTTTAAAGGATCATCAAGTGGAGAATCAAGTTGACATTAAAAGTTTTCAGCTTTACATACAACTGTTCCTTTTCTTACCCCCACAATATACTTTTTAAGAAAAAACGAAAGTGTCCCTTCAGAAGCTAAAATTAAAAGGAAAAAAGAAAAACAACATATTGGAATTTTTCCATCATATAGGAGAAGAAAAAATAAAAAAAAATCTAATAATTTCGTTTTCAGTTCTATTTTCTTTTTCTAAAGTATTTGTATGAAAAAAAAATTATCAAATAAGCGAAAAACTATTCACAGAAAGGTGATAGTAATAATATTGGTAAATGTGTCAATACTAACCAAAATATGGAATGTAGAGAGCAACAAGTAAGCTTAAAATCACTAAACTTGTTCTGACAAGAACGGACATAGCATGGCATCTTAGTCTAGGAGAGGTGGCTAGTTCCTCTATGCTCAATGCAATCGGCAATAACGTTAAGGCATATTTTGCCAATGGAGTCACAACCTATAAAATACATAAATTCATTAAATATATCATTTAAGAAATAATAAATAAAAGGGCATAAAAACATTTCTTATGTTGAACATAAATAAAAGGAAACTTGTTTGTTCTCTTACCGTTGTCCAAGTTGCAATCTCAGATGCATACAATTCTTTAGGCATGTTTAAGGTAAACTGAGATGAAACTAAGTCACCAAATGTTAAGTAGCCCATTATTCCCACACTCATGTACATGAAACTGCAAAAGCCAAAGCTGAAGAATGGAAGTTAATCAATATAAGTCTGTTTCGAACAACTTTTTTAACAACATTTCTATAAAAAAAGAAGTTTAAATCAACAAAAGTTTTCTATTTCTTTCATTTATTTATTTTTAACTTGTGCATGGATAAATTTTAAGTAATCATAAACGAATTTCATTTCAGTGTTTTTGCAGTGAATTGAGTATATTATTACATCTTACTGAAGATTTCATACTTACCAGACAAATAACACTGATGGGAATTTGGATGGTTCCTTCATAGAAGAGTAGATGTTAGGAAAAACAGCATGGCCAGCAAAGCAAAAACTATAGAGACCAACTGAGACAGGTAAGTTTGCCAAGTCTAGAATTTTTTTTCCTGGTTTATATCCAACAACTTGGTCCATTGTCCCAACCCAAAACAAACAAAGAGCAACGAGTATTGTTGCAAATATTCCTCCAACTGAGCACAGAGGCAACTTTTGTTAGCAAGTTAATTTGAAACAGATTTATAAAATATAACACAGTGGTGCTCAAATACCTGAAATATAAGAAAGTAAGCTTAGATTTCGCAACCAAACTGTTGGTAGAACAATAATTGCTGCTGTGATGGCATAAATTTCTTCAGAATTCAAATCAATCCCACCAAATTTCATCTGGGTGTTAGGATATAGTGAGGAGAGGTTATCACTGACTAGTATTATATACTCAACACAAGAAGCCTACACATAAGAGCTATTCACATGTAAGCATGTATGAGAATATAAATAAAGCAAAAGAATGTGTTTAAAAGCAATTGCAAATTCATATCAAACTCTTGCACTTACAAAAAGTTCCACGTATAGAAATATCTGCATTTAACCAAAGTAAAATATGTCAGTTTTCCTTTCTATGTTCACACAATAATGTTGGTTTGGCTTCACTAAAGTAAGAAACTCATTTTAGAGAGTACGTAAAGTAAGTAATTGATCATTGATGAGAAAATCAATAATCTCTTTTCTCATCAGTGACTAACTATTTACTTGACCCTTTCCCACTTTATAAAGGAGCCTGTTGAAAGCTACAATTTGATGCTTGCATGCAATCCCTATTATACTCACTGCAATCCCCAAGCGACCAACAATTCCAAAAGCAGCTTGGCCAATATCTGGGTAGGTTTTGAGTCCATCATTGCTTTCTAAACATTTTATTAGTAGCATCCCAGTATAACAACACATGAGAGAAAACATTAAAAGTATTGCAAGGCTCAGAAACCCTCCTTCTTTTATTGCATATGGAGTGGTAAGAAGTCCTATTCCACATAGTATATTGGTTCCTTCATAAAATAAAAACAAAGATTCTGTAGGTCAACACAGTGAGGATAACTGTGCCTAAAACTAAACCATAACCTTTTATGTAATGAATTCAGCTTATAAATAACTAAATAAGTGAAAATATTACCTATGTAGAGGACATGATAATGCAACTACAGTTAGTAATTATATAAGAATTTTGGAATGAAGATGATATTCACCATTAATTACTGATTTTGTATATGAACATTGTTCATGTGGCGGTGGCAATTCGTCCACAGAAAATTTTGCACTGCTAAGTGGTTGCAGGCGTGGTACTGATGCAAGACGATTCTCTTGTTTGAATCCACATGTCTCAGAAACAAGGGGTAGAGATAAGGTAGAATCCTCTTGGTGTTCTTGAGATCTCTTGAATGATGTAATGGGAGAATTTCCTCTCCCCACTGAACCAAATCTCTTTAACAAATTAATTCCAGGAGGTGTTGCACTAGTTAACATGTCCATAGATTGTCTGCTCATAATGAACAAAGGAATTTAGTACTTTAATGTTTATAGACAATGATTTTTTTCACTAATTGTAACCTTTTATATTTCTCTCATGTTACTATTGTTCTAAAGTTCATGTCTTATGGGAAACAATTGATTTCTGTATGAGTATGTGTGTAGATCATGCATGAAGGTACATTCCAATGCATATTCAGATTCAAATTCATTCGTCATAAATTATCAAATGTTAGTGATCACATCATTATATAACCACACATGCAAGATGAAACTCTAAGACTAACACTTGTTAATAATAAGAACTTGTTTCTAACATTGTTAAAGAGACCAATGCAAAAGAACTCAAAAGCAGAAGACAAATTATCTAAGAACAGCAAACAGGTAGAATTGAATGTATAACAAAGTGATACAAAGATTCTTCACCACTCAATAATAATAAAAAACACATATATATAATTAACAATCAATGAAGGAGTACCTATAGCTTTGAGGCCAAGAGATCATGGAAACATCGTTGGACAAACTTGGTGAAGGAGGTGAATTATCTGAATCAGTATCATCATCCAAATGTTCAAACACCCTTTGTGCCTGATTTTCTTCATCATCTGTTTGGAAATCATCCTCACGATCAGGACGTAGATCCTCATCTAGCTTAACCTTTCCCCTTTGCATGTTATACCACAACCTATTATTTTCCTGTAATGTGTATCAAAATGAACAAGAGAAAACAAACAAAACTTTATGATTATAATTTTCTCAGAATTGAAATGGAAGGAGATCAACACAAATGTTGAGGTTGCTTTGAACTATGTTAGCGTGACAGTTTTAGTTACACGGAGGTGATAGCTTGTGATGATTATTTGCTTCCAATTTTTATGATCTCTTTTGTTTCATCAACTCTCAAAGAGACTTGTTAAGAATAGAAAATCACACAAGGGACGGTTAAGGATGAGAATTTAACTTCTTTTTTTCTTTTAAAGATTTTTGTGGAGATAAAAATTCAATTGAGAAGAGAATGATAAAAAAAATATAATTTGCATTTATTAATGAACCAGGAGAAAATAACTTTAAAACAATTATGCCTAACTTGTGAAGAAAGTTTTAAGTCGTATACTTTAATGAATTTTATTATTGTTAAGGTAAGACATATTCTTCTTTCTATAATTGAATGAATTTCATTATATATGAAAATATGATTGTTGGAAGGAGATATTTCCTTATTCTTATATATTACCATATACTCTGTTATTGATATGCCCTTTTTGAGAAAATATTTTTCTTTATTTTTATTTACATATAATATTGCCTTTTATCAATATATAATATTGAGTTTATAAAGGTTGTCAAAAGCATTACATATGAAAATATTTTTTTTTTTAGAAAATGAATATGTATTTCTTAATCTAAGTCTAGTCTAAATCCAAATCTTACTTTGAATAAAAATATAAAAATTGAGCATCATATAAGAAAAAAAAAATTATAAACTTATTGTCTTATATTTTGGATTGAAAATTGCGTTAATTTTTTTTAGTGAATTACTCCATAAGTTATAATGAAAAAGAGTCATAAAATATTGTTTTAAAATTTTTAATTAAAATATAGTCATTTCTTTATAAAGATTAAGTTCAGATCACATTATGTAATCTTCCTAATCTTTTAGGGAGTAACTTAGAGGCTTGTAATAAAAATGATAACATATATATAAAAATATGTTGCGAGAATATTTCTCCTTGTTTTTATTGAAATATAATATAGTAATTATTTTATTATCGGGTATCTCATTCAATTTTGTCTCAAATTATCATTATTTATGGGTTATTAAATTCATAAATGCATAAGTTCCATTACATAATGAAATATCTTTGTTGATTTAAGATATCTTCATTTTTTTTTATAATTAAAGCAATTATTAATCAATAATATTGTAGCTATTCTTTTATTGGTATGTTATTTATTTTTTTATGTCAAATTATTATTACATAACATTTTAATAAATGTAATGATTTTGTTATATATGAACTATCTTTCTATATATATTGCTATAAATTTTGTTTTAATTAGAATAATGTTCTTATATAATATTATAATAGTTTTGTTATTCATATCCCTAATGCTATAAATTTATATCTGTTTTATCTCTAATATCTTTGTTTAAATGTGTGAAATAAATAAATAGGGAAGAATTATGGTGGAGGAAAATAAGTTGAAACTTAAGGAAGCATGTTTTGGACGATAAATGATCATGCTGCCAAATTGCATATGATTGAATGATTGTAGGTTTGAGCGCCACAAGCCCCTGCACAGGTAATGTTAAGCGGTGGAAAAGTTGCATTGAGTGTCAGTTAATGTGAAAGGAATAATGTTGAGCAATGAAAATGATGTTGAGCAGTAATTTGACAGAGAGCCCTTTTATGTTATAACTGATGGCGTTCAACGGTGTTGATATGGTGCTAAGCAGTGACGACAGTGACGGCATTGACATGCCAAAATGGGTTATTTAAACATGTTTCTCGCGAGGTATTTGGGATTCCTCCCTCGATTACTCTCCACCTAGGGCAACTAAAAGAGGCCCTTGGAGGTTGTTTAGGGTGTTGGGAAGCTCTCTCTCCTCCTTGGGTCTTTAATCTTCATCTATGGTGTTTTCCCTTTCTTAGGCTTGATGAGGGAGATGAACTACGAATTAGAGGAGTTGATGTGAAGGGGGAGGGGGCACAATTTGAGTATGGAGCAACTGCTAAGAACTTTAGGATAAAGATCACATCTTCTCTTTGGTTTCCATTTCTTCCTTGTCTCTTCAATTTGTAAACCCTAGGTTCTCCATGAATGGAAAGCTAACCCTATATGTTGATATTAAATGTAATAAATTGAATCTTATGTATTTTATGATGTTAATACATATGTTTTTCCATTGCAAAACGTGTATGATGGGTTTTCAAAGAATTATCAAATAAGAATATTCTTCAGATGATACATAGAAAACTTAATAAAAGCTTTTAAAGAATGAAAATAATGAAGCACAATTTTTATACTAGTTTACTCAACATGAGATAAGTCTACATCTCCCTTAAAAACTCTTAAGGGGTACCACTAATTTTTTCAAGATTATACGAGTTTAACTCACTCTCGGTTACAAGTATTATTTACCTAGTCAATCCTAACTAGTTTGGGTATTATAAACCCCTTTTTGGTTCCCCTAGTCAATCATGACTAGTCTAAGTATTATAAACCCCTTTTTGGTTCCCCCAGTCAATCATGACTAGTCTAAGTATTATAAACCACTCTTGGTTCCCCTGATCAATCCTGACTAGTCTGAGTACTATAAACTACTCCTTGTTCTCTTAGTCAATCCTAAATAGTCCGAGTTTATCCACTCTTAGTTGTTGAGTATTATGATCACTCTTAGTTTACAACAAATGTTTGATTACAAGAAGGATAATAACTCTCATTGAGAGAATATGTAATTAAAACAGAATATTCCTGAATTATTGTAATTGCTTTCTTTCTCTCCTTTTGGATGAAAGCACCAAACAATTCAAGCTTAGAGCAAAAATAATATTTTTTGTTCACTCTCTAGTTTTCTCTCTTCTCTTCTTTGAGCATTTGCATTTAGAAGCTATCAGCACAGCAACAAACTTCAGAGTGGATTTTCAACAAAGCTTAATTTTCTTCTCTTTTCTTTTCTTATCTTTTATTCTCTTTTCTTCTCTTTTCTTTTCTTCCCTTTTTATTCTCTTTTCTTTTCTTCTTTTCTTTGAAAGCTTCAGATGTTGGAGGCTTTGAGATGGAGTAGCAATATAAATATGTGACAATAGCTCTTTTCTATTTTTCTCCTCACTCTTGCTTATCACTCTTCTCATTCTCTCTTAATATAGCATGCTTTCTTTCAATCTTTCATATCTTCGTCATTTTTCTTAGGTTGAGGAGCATTAGACAATATAAGCATTGAGATAAAGTAGAGTTGATGATTGATAATTTATCTTGAGCATACTCCCTTTCTTTTTCTCTTATTATATTTCTCCTTTTCTCTCATCTTTTTCAACAACTTCATTCTTTCCCGTTGATCTTATTTGTATAAGATTTATTGAGGGATGACCATTGGATAATAAGTTGCTTTAAGAATGGGCTTCATAGCCTTTTTTTTAAGTAGGTTGATCAACCTCAAGTCTACGTTTTAGGCCAGCAGTGCTTTTTCACGAAGATAGCTTGTACGATCCTTTTGGGTTAGTGGCCTTGAATAGGTGTTCTTGTTTCTTAACGTCTTTTTGTTTTGAGATCTTCGATAAAGCTTGATGTTGTCATTTCTTGGACAGATAAAGAGAACAAATCATGCAAGCACAAAGGCATATTTTCATACAAAATTAAATATTTTACCCGGTCGTGATTGTAGAGTACATTATGTGTTTAGGGCATTCTTGCATATATCAACATCATTTAATTAAAGAATCGTTTGATGGTAAAACATATAGCATGTGTAATCATTAGATGATACACATTAGATGCTCCTTCAAAGTATATAGTGTTTTGGTTGAATTTTTTCGATGGTCGATTGTCCTTCCTTGCTTTACTATCTTTCGATCGTCCAATCATCTCCGAGAACGCAATCCACTCCAATGGGTTATTGATCTACATAAGACACTCCGACGCTCAAGTTAGATATGCTTAATAGAGAGATGTTTATTGTATTAGGATAGATCAAGGTTAGATCAAGCTTATTTTTACCTAGACATTAACCCCACATTTATAGGGCTTATAGCAATCAAGCCTATTAATTAATAATTAATACCGTATATTCAGATTTGATATGGCAATCAAACCATTAATACCTGTTAACTGCCCATAAATGACCCTGAACTCTTGTCGGTATATTTCATATAGTACATAAGTCCCTCAAGCCCAAGCAAGCTCTTTATTGAAAGAAGTGTGCAGGGATTATTATGAGCTTTAAGAGAGGCCGTTAACGTTGTGTTAAGGAGACTATTTTTGATGCGCCTTGAGTCTTCATTCCTTTCTGTATCAAGCGGTGGACTCTAGGAGTTCTCTTTGGAATTGTTCCCTAGACTGAGTAGAAAATGTTAGGAGTTCTCTTTGGAACTTTTTCCTACGTTGAGTAGTAGACGTTAGGAGTTCTCTTTGAAACTTTTTCCTGTGCAAGAAATTTTCACTCCAAAACACATGCGTTTAAACAAAATAAAGTAAACGCTTCAGTATTTTATAATCTATTTTTATAATGAAAAGGCATTGGAACCTGACAAAGCTGAACGTAGGTGGTCCGTGCGGGAAGGGACTGAACCTGTTGTGTAGTAGATGTTATGAGTTCTCTTTGGAACTTTTTTCTAATTTGAGTAGCGACTGATAAGAGTTCTTTTTAGAACTTTTTCCTATGTTGATAGGAGTTCTTTTTAGAACTTTTTCCCATGTTGAGCGGAGGTACTCGACGTTCCATTTGGAACTTTTTTCTAGGCCGAGCGGCGGTTGATGGGAGTTCTTTTTAGAACTTTTTCCTATGTTGATAGGAGTTAATTTTATAACTTTTTCCCTTGTTGAGCGGAGGCTTTAGAAATTCCATTTGAAACTTTTTTCTAGGCCGAGCAGCGGCTGATGTGAGTTCTTTTTAGAACTTTTTCCTATGTTGATAGGAGTTCTTTTTATAACTTTTTCCCTTGTTTATTGGAGGTTTTTGATTTTCCATTTGTAACTTTTTTCTAGGCCGAGCAGCGGCTGATGTGAGTTCTTTTTAGAACTTTTTCCTATGTTGATAGGAGTTCTTTTTAGAACTTTTTCCCATGTTCAATGGTGACTGATGGGATCCTATTATTTGCACTAACAAGGTTGAACTTTGGTGGTCCAACTGACCAAGCGGTAAAGGATTGAACTTTCCTGTGCAAGATATTTTTGCTCACAAGAATATGCGTTAAATAAAATATTCAATATTTTATTATTATAGTGAGAAGTTATTAGAACCTGACAAGTTGAACGTTGGTGGTCCAACTGACCAAGCGGTAAGGGATTCAACCTTCTTGTGGAGGATATTTTTACTCATAAAAATATGTGTTAAATAAAATATTCAATATTTTATTTTTTATAATGAGAAACCATTAGAACCTGATAAGACGTTGGTGGTCCAATCGACCAAGCGATAAGGGATTGAACCTTCCTATGCAGGATATTTTTACTCCCAAAAATATGCGTTTAAATAAAATATTCAATATTTTATAATCTTCTTTTATAATGAAAAGTCATTTGAACCAGACAAGGTTGAACGTTGGTGGTCCAACTGACTGAGCGGTAAGGGGTTGAACATTTCTGAAAGTTCTCAAAACAAAAGACATGCCTTTAGAATTATTATGAAATCTTTTTGTCTTGTTGCAAAACCTGGTATTGATTCGAAGTACCAATGTCGAGATCGAGCGCGCATCTGGTTCCTCGTGGTTTCATGGAAATGTCGCTCGGCCCCACGGTGGGCGCCAAATGTTTTGGTTGAATTTTTCTGAGGGTCGGTCGTCCTTCCTTGCTCTACTCTATTTCGATCGTTCAATCCTCTTTGAGAATGAAATCCACTCTGATGGATTGTTGACCTGCATAAGACACTCTGACGCTCAAGTCATATATGTTTAATAGAGAGGTGTTTATTTTATTAGGATAAATCAAGGTTAAATCAAGGTTATTTTTACCTGGACATTAACCCCACATTTATAGGGCTTATAGCAATCAAGCCTATTAATTTATCATTAATATTGTATATTCATATTTGATATGGCAATCAAACCATTAATATCTGCTAACTGTCCATAAATGACCATTATCTCTCATCGGTATATTTCATACAGTACATATAGCTTTTAGAAATAATTCATTAGAGATGTTTTCTTTAAAATGCTTTATCTTTTGATTATGCATATGTCATTTTAGTTCAGACGCAAGGATGTTAGGGTACTCTTGTTAGGAGTTTTCTATCATTTAACGCTAGTCTGAGTAGTATTTCTCTTGGCAAGATATTTATCTTTTATCTTTGCTTTCTTCTTAGACATTATATTAATTATACGATTATATATGTTTTTCAATATCATTTAGGGCTTTCGTTTCATAAGATGTTTGCTCGATAAAACGTTAATTTTAGAGAACCTCTTCACTTGTAAGATGTTTTTTGCAACGTGTTGACCTTTTCAGACGTTGTTTGTTACACATAACATATGTTAGATGATTCTTTTAATAATATTTTTTCTTTCATTAGACATTGTTTTATAAAAGCGATATTTCGTTGATTATTATTTGATAAACTTCAAACTTGAGTTGCTAGACATTCTGATTTTGCTTCAACAAAGGATTCAAGAGATTGAAACTTGATGAGTTTCATAGACTCAAAGTTACTAGGGATATGATTTAATTATTTTGACGAGTTGATTTTGACATGAATACAATGCATGAGAATGAAGTGGGTCAACTCTAGTCTTAACAAATTGAAAATACTCTATGTTACATTTCCTTGCACGCCAACTATTTGTTAAAAGTGCAAAAAGAGTTTCATTTGTGTTTTTTGTGAACTTTGTGGTCTACGCTACGACAAGTGTTGCACAGGTCCCTTGGGGAGAACGATATAAATACTTATTAGTTGCTACTCTGCGACCGGTGCATTTGTCGTTGGTTTTGTAGCCAACAAAGAGGCAAAGACACGAACTTGAGTCAAAGTACAGGAATGGTTGGAAGAAAGGAAAACAAAAATGCATAGACTAGCAATAGAAGAGATAACTTGAAGAAGAGGAAATGTGGAACAAGTAAGAAGAAATAAAAGTGATATGCAAAGTGCCGCAAAATTCAATATAAAGGGTTTTCTCAAGCATCATTTCCTCTCATGAGACTCAACCCCTGGCTCTTCATGTCCCTCTAATAACCAATTAAATGATAACATGTCATCAACAAATTCATATCCATTTAATGTAAAGCAATCATTACTCAAAACCTCTCATTAATATAACACAGAAATCAATGGGTCAAGTGACCTTACAACATAGTAAGTTCATAAGACAGAAACCCTAAAAAGGTAACACTAGGTATAGTCATGGTCAAAGATGACCACTTAGAGCCTGACCAAAAGGCCATTAATTTGAATATAAAAGTCATCTTCAACTCAACCAAATGGTTAGTTACTGTCGCACTAAGTTCATTCCACCTGCATAAGTAAGTCGACCAAAAGGCTAGTTGTCATTCTAACGAGTTCATTTATTATACATGTTAAACTTTTGAACTTGGGGTCGTGTATCATACCCAACCCAAGAAAAGACTTTAGTACATTGTTAAAGCTTGACAGATTTTACCCACAATGGACATTCAAGCCATATAGTTGTTGTATCCTATCATTCATTAGATGGTTATTTACCATTACTCCTCATATGCTTAGGCACAACGACCATTTTCTTAGTCTTTAAAGTGCTCAACCAGAAAGTATAACACTGAAAACATTTTCATACTTTCACTTATACTTTAACAAATCTCTAAAATTCTTACTTACTTAAACATCAAAGAATCTTTTATGGATGGATTTTTCCTTGTTTTGACTGATCTGCCTTACAAAGATACTCCTAGGATCTTGCTACGTGTCTTGCATATATAGAATCCAAGCCTCTAAGAACACTAATGAAAATTCTTTGTATTTTTGTTTTAGTTTGAATAATTTATATTAGATGAACTTTAATTTGATGAAAATTGGAAAAGTGATTAATTTTGTTTTACTTCTATAAAAAAAATCTATTATCTATGTTATGTAACCCATCCATGATCATACTCATAATTCCAATTTTAATTATAATAAACATTAATTTGATCTATTTAGTCCTTCCATTAGGTAAATCCAAGAAAACAAAAACATTGAAATTGTGTTATACAAAAATTTAAAAGAGATTTTCAAGATAGAAAAGCATGATAAAATAGCATAGTATAAAATTGACCTAAACATGTTATATTAATATCACAATAACACATTCAGATCAAAAACAACATAAGCAAAAAAAAATGAAAGAATAATGTGCATACCTCCTGTCATTGCAATTTTGTAATCCAAACACAGACAACTTTGTTTTTCTAGACCTTAACTCACTCAAACTCGATGGTGTGTTTTCTGAATAGAGGAGTAGGCTTAGTGATCAAAACTGAGAGTAACACATTTGCTCATATATAGTCTGGCCATCACAGGTTTTAAAATAAATGGGCTTTTCATTTAAACAAAATTAATAACTGCTCCATAACCTCTATGCAGTTTAAAGGATAAAAATAATGGCTTAATGGACCACTTTATGTTCCTTAAAAATAAGAACTGAAAATGCTATAATATTTATTTTATATTTAAAATAATGCTAACATTCTCTCACTTGGTCCATTTATCCAATTATTAACCACAACAAGTGACAGAATATATACGAGTCATGTCTATAGGTCCTCTGATAGTGAGTGTTATCTTCCATGTACCACAATATATATTTCTCTCATCACTAGCTCTCAACTTAATGCATAAACCATATGTTTATGCTAGATCAAAAATAAATTATATCTTCTCAAAATAAATGTGCACAAAAACATATTAGAAAAACATCAAACTGAATAAGAGTTTCATTGAAAATAATAAATGTACTGATAATGAAATAACATCACGGAACCAAGTTCCATTTGCACTACATGATCCTTAAAATTCTTTGGTGGCATGCCTTTAGTTAAAGGATCAACAATCATCAACTCAGTGCTTATGTGTTCAATGACCACTTTCTTTTCCTTAACATGTTCTCTAATGGCTAAGTATTTGATGTCAATGTGCTTACTTCGACATCCACTTTTATTGTTCTTAGCCATAAACACCGCAGCAGAGTTGTCACAGTACAACTTTAATGGCCTAGAAATAAAGTCCACAACTCTGAGCCCAGAAAAGAAACTCTTTAACCATACACCATGCGAGGTAGTCTCAAAACAAGAAACGAACTCAGCTTTCATAGTAGAAGTAGCAGATAATGTCTGCTTGGCACTTCTCCAAGATATAGCTCCACCAGCTAACATAAAAATATAACCAGATGTTGATTTTCATGAATCAACGCAGCCATCATAGTTTGAATCGGAGTAGCCAATCACTTCCAAACATTCAGTTCGTCTATATATAAGCATGTAATCTTTTGTCCCTTGAAGATATCTCATTACCTTCTTTGCAGCTTTCTAGTGGTCAACACCTGAATTACTCTGATATCTTCCCAAAACTCCAACAACATATGCAATGTCAGGTGTAGTGCAAACCTGAGCATACATAAGGCTTCGGATAGCTGAAGCATATGGAATATTCTTCATGTGTTCCCGCTCAAATCATTTTTCGGACATTGATTCAAGTTGAGTTTATCACCCTTCACGATGGGAGCTACACTGGGTGAACAATTCTTCATGTTAAACATCTTTAAAACTTTTTTGATATTAGAGTTGTCAAAAAGGGTAACCCGACCCGACCCAACCCACCACGGGTTAGCCACTTAGTGAGTCAATCCAATTCGACTCATTTATTAGCGACCCGAAAAAATTCGAACTCGACCCGACCCACCACGAGTTGGTGGGTTAAACGGGTTGGCTATTGGCTCACTTAATTAAAAAAATTTTCACCCTCTTCTTCTCAGATTCTTAACATGTTACTTTGATCGATCAAATTGAAACAGTAATAATTGGACCAATTGATATAAAAGAAAATGAAACAAAAGAAATATATTGTTATATATATTATAAGCTATCAAGCATAAATTTTTGCCAATTTAGTTTAATGAGACCTACACAACCGTTAGACCAAGAAACTACATATAGGTGTTAACAAAAATATATAGCACAAGATAAAACTATCATGCTAGATAGGTCTAAAAACAAGATAGAACAAATGATATATTCCTGAATTATCCAATCTATAATATTATCCATCTATTAAATTGGAGTCTCGAATGGATAAATTCACAGTATTATGCTCTATTGAAGCATATTCTTCTTTATCTCCATCTATAATATTATCCAATCTATAATCTTAGGGTTTTATTTGATAGGGGAACTTTTGGAAAGACAGCAGCGCGAAAGGCTATATTGCTAAGTAAAAGTTGTGCATTTTGAATAATTAATTTACTTAATTTGATTTCAATAACAAAAATACGATTTGAATAATTAATTTAATTAAAAAAATAGGTGGGTTGGTGAGCCAACCCAACCTACCACGGGTTGAACCCGTGTGAGCCGGGTTCTTAGTGAGCCAGTCAAAATTGGCTTGCATAAACTTTTGCATTTTTTTCCAACCCAACCCGGCTCAACTCGGCTCAAACCCATGGTGAGCCGGGTTAGCTCACGGGTTTCAACCCATTTTGACGGCATTAGTTGATATAGGTCTCTTGAGACAAACCCAATGCCTCAAGATCTTTCCCTATGGATCTTAATGCCAATGACATAAGATGCCTCTTCCATATCCTTCATGTCAAAGTTCTTTGAGAGAAATTGTTTCACTTCATATAGCAAACCCTTATCTTTGGTTGCAAGAAAAATATCATCCACGTATAATACAAGGAACAAATCTTACTCCCACTAACCTTTTGGTATATACATTGATCCATGACGTTTTCTTCAAAACCAAATGAAGTGATAACATCATGAAATTTTAGATACCATTAGCGGGAGGCTTGTTTTAATCCATAGATGGATTTATTAAGCTTGCAAACTAAGTGTTCATTTTCTTTAGAAGAGAATCCTTCAGGTTGTTTCATGTAAACCTCTTCTTCCAGATGACCATTAAGGAATGTTGTTTTCACATACATTTGATGTAACTCAAAATCAAAATAAGCTACTAATGCCATAATTACTCGAAAAGAATCTTTCTTAGATACAGAAGAAAAGGTCTTTGTGTAGTCAATTCTTTTTCTTTGAGTGAACCCTTTGGCAACAAGTCTTGCCTTATGTCTCTCAATGTTTCCTTTTGAGTCTTTCTTGGTTTTAAAGACTCATCTACATCCTATGAATTTTACACCATTAGGCAACTGAACGAGATCCCAGACTTTGTTGGATGCCATAGAATCCATCTCAACTTTCATGGCGTCATACCATAGGTCTAATTCTTTAGAACTCATGGCTTGTGAAAATGTTTCAGGATCATTTGCAGCTCCCATATTGTAGTCAACTTCTTGCAAATACACTACATAATCACTAGGAATTTTTGTCCTTTTAACTCTATTAGATCTTCTTAATGTTGCCTCATCATTTTCTTGAGGAAATTGTTGCTCAAGCAATTGTTCAGTAGGTTGTTCAACATCATCTTGTTGTTCCTCATTAGCAACTTGATCTGTAAGGTCATTTTCAGCAGGTTGTGAAGCTTCAATTATTGTTTGTCTAACACCCATTTGTGTTTGAGGGGTGTGAATGACAACCAATCTATCACTTGAGCTAGAGAGTTGAGCTTCATAGTGATCCCTTTCATTCCCAATGTTTGGAAACCGATCACTCCCACTAACTAAGTCATTCTCAAGAAATTTTGCATTTCTTAACTCCAATATCCTAGTATTATGCGATGGACAATAGAATTTATATCCCTTAGACTTTTCAGCATATCCAATGAAATACCAACTAATAGTCATTGGGTCTAGTTTCTTCTCTTGTGGATTATAAATTCTCACTTCAGACGGACATCCTCAAACGCGTATATGTCGCAAACTTGGTTTCCAACCTTTGAATAACTCAAACGGTGTCTTTAAGACGGCCTTGGTTGGGACTCGGTTTAATATATACACAGTCGTCTTTAGTGCTTCTGTCCACAAGAATTGAGGAAGTTTTGAATCACTCCTCATACTTCTCACCATGTCCATTAAAGTTCAGCCACACCATTCTGATATGGAGAACTAGGAATAGCGTATTAGGCAACAATTCCATGTTCTTGAAGAAACTTCGCAAACGGACCAGGTGCTTGTCCATTCTTCGTGTATCTACCATAATACTCTCCACCTCTATCTGATCTCACAATCTTGATTTGCTTTCCGCATTGTTGCTCAACATCAGCCTTAAAAATTTTAAAGGCATCCAAAGCTTCATCCTTAGAACGAAGTAAGTATAGATACATATAATGTGAGTAGTCATCTATAAAGGTGATGAAGTATTCCGGACTACTTGCGTCCATATCCGGACAACAAATATTTGTATGAATAATTTCTAGTAAACTTGAACTCTTCTTAGCACCTATTTTGGACTTGTTAGTTTGCTTACCCTTTATGTAATCCACGCAAGTCTCAAAATCAGTAAAATCCAAAGTAAGTACTCCTTCATTTACTAATCGCTTAATTCTCTCAATGGAGATATGTCCCAATTTATGGTGCCATAAAATAGAAGAATCCTCTTTCATAATACATCTTTTTAATCTGGCATTAACGTGCATAGAATCATAAGCGATATTGTTTTGCAAAATAATGGAATAAAGACCATCACACAATTCACTAAAACCAACAACTTTAGATTTATTCATTAAGGTAAAACCAGAATCTGAAAAATTAAAAGAAAAACCGAAAGGTATAAGTCTTGAAACAGAAATCAAATTCTTAGAAAAACAAGGAACATAAAATGTCTTTTCCAAATGCAAAACAAAACCACTACTTAAAACTAAGTTGCACGTTCCAATGGCCTCCACATGTGAGCTCATCTTACTCTCTGAGTAGATATATTATTCACTTCCCACTGGCCTCCTTAGGTTTTGCATACCCTGCAAGGTATTAGAAACATGGATTGTAGAACCAGAATCAATCCACCAAGTGTTATGATTAAAACTAGTCAAATTAGATTCATAACAGCGAAAAGCAAATGGAGTACCTTTCTTATCAAGCCAATTCTTAAATTTTAAGCCGTCTTTCTTCATGTGTCCTTTCTTTTTACAAAAGAAACATCTGGACTCCTTCTTAATAACTGGCTTAGTAGGAATATTTCCCTTCTTATTAACTTGGTTCTTCTTATTCTCAAAAGAAGTGGTCAAGTTCACCTTCTCCCCTTCTTCTATCAATAGCCTTTCTTCTTCTTAAACACACATGGTCAATAATTCATTAATAGACCACTTATCCTTATGTGTGTTGTAAGAGATTTTAAAGGGGGCATAATGGTGAGGCAAAGTGCACAAAATATAGTGTACCAGGAAAGAGAGTCAGACATGGTAACTTCCAAAGCTTTTAGTTGAGCCACAATGTCCCTAATGCGCATGATATGATCACGTACTCCCTTAATTCCAATGAGCTTTAAAGATGAAAAATGCATTATAAGGGTGCTGGCAAGAGATTTATCAGATGTCTTAAACTACTCATCAATAGCCCTTAGTAAATCTTTAACATTCTCATACTGGTCAACTAAACCCCAGATCCCAGCAGAAATGTTGGGTTTTATGAACGTTACGGAGAGACGATTTGACCTCTCCCATTTTTCATAAAGATCAATGGCATCTGAAGTGCTAGTCTTAGTAATACCCGGTGGTTCTGGTTTTCTAATAGCATAGTCAATGTCCATCCATCCTAAATGAAGAAGAACTCTTTCCTTCCAAACCTTATAATTATCTCCTTTCAACTCGGGAATACCACACTTGATATCTGAAAAATTCACAGATTGAGAAACTGCAAATTCAAAATTACATGCTTATTATATATTTTGAGAATAAAATAGATGTCATGTTTTACCCATGCAAACATGTCTTTACCAATGAGTTTATTAACATAAAACTTACATGTGGGCTAAAGTCTTACTCAATTAGACTCATTATCTTAATGATAAAACTATCAAATTATGTTCCTTTTTTTCATTCCTGTAGGTAAATTAAGAAATATAATTTAATATTTTATCCTAATTAATCATATAAATATGAAAAAAAATTTGTGGTAGATTTTATCATATTAAATATAATTATTTACAACTAATGTTTCTCATGTAGCAAAACTTTATATACAATTTTAATTGATTAAAGATGATGTTGCTACTCTTTAATTTATTAAAACTATATTATTACTAAAACATTAATAATATATAAATATTTACACAAAGTTCTTAATATGAAAATATAGTAATAATAATGCATATTTTATTTGCACGTATAACAACAAATATATACATACAAATAATATCCATAAAATATACATAATTATTAATCCAAAAACATTTATATATATATATATATATATATATATATATATATAACATGATATGTTTGCATATCCTAATAAAACGTATTTTATATTATATGTTAAATAAAAATAATAATAATAATACTATTATTATTTAAACATAAAAGCACCAGCAATTAATGTTTGCGTGCTTGAAAAAGCAACAGAAGCTGTAACACGCACAAACCAAAAAAAAAGAATAGGGTTCAATGGCAGAAACCCTTTTTATATCTTTATTAATTTATTAAAGATACAAGTTTAAAGAACCCAATTCTCTACCACGACAATTCCAGAAAAACTCCTTCTTTATTCCCTTCATCAAGCAACAGCACAGAGCAAAAAATGGCCGTAAACCGAAAGGATTTCGAACAGGACAAAACGTTGTAGAAACTGGTGAAGAAGCACAAGCAGAAAAAAAGTCGCTCACCAACAGGTTAACGAAAGGTTCATCGTCAATCCAAGAATCTTAATGACCATCTGGCTAATATTATTCGCTTTTAAAAGATAAAAGCTCCGTTTAAGATTACAAGAAAATTGTAATCATGATTTTATGTTAATTTGGTAATTTTTATTTGGATTAAATGAATCAAAATAATAAAGCTCATAAATCTGAAAAACCAAACGAATGAAAATATGCAAGGCAGATAAATAAACAAACTCTGATACCAAATGATAAAATAGCATAGTATAAAATTGACCTAAACATATTATATCAATATCACACTAACACATTCAAATCAAAAACAACATAAGGAAAAAAAAATGAAAGAATAATTGCGATCCAAACACAACTTTGTTTTTCTAGACCTTAACTCACTCAAACTGTGTTTTCTGAATAGAGGGGTAGGCTTAGTGATCAAAACTGAAGTAACCCATTTGCTCATATATAATCTGACCATCACAGGTTTCAAAATAAATGGGGTTTTCATTTAAACAAAATTAATAACTGCTCCATAAGCTCTATGCAGTTAAAAGGATAAAAATAATGACTTAATAGACCACTTTATGTTCCTCAAAAATAGAAACTGAAAATACTATAATATTTATTTTATATTTAAAATAATGCTAGCAAGCATCTATTTGTAAGAAAAATACTTAATAAATTATCGTAAATTTTTAAAAATACTTATTAAATTATCATAAATTTTTTTTTATCTTTTTAAAGATGCCGAAGGTGATCATAAAAATATAGACACGTATTTATATAGGGATGTGAAGGGAAGAAATGTTATTGTTCAAAACTATTCTAATGAGAAACTAGATATAAAAGATAATTAAATTATTTTTAATTATTTATTTTGTTTTTAAAACAATTAATTGATGATAAAAAAAACAATTTGCTAAACGATAATATGTTAACTTTAAATCATAATTGTCTATAATTTCTTTTTCCCTTTGTAGTGAAAATACTATATCAATACTATCATTTGATTTTCATTACTATTATCAAACAAGAAAAAAAAAATTATAAATAATTCTCTATACAAATAAATTATCACTAGTAAAAAATAGACTTTTTAACGAGCAATATACGCCTCGGTTTTACTAAAACCGAAGCGTATAAAAACGCGGTGGAAATTTCATAGTTTTAGGAAAAGTATGTGCCTCGGTTGTCCAGAACCCGATGTCTACAGCGGCTACTACCTCGGTTATGAGAATACCCGAGGCAGAAAACCTCAGACATTTAATAGTGCGGTGGCAATTTCGTAATTTTAGGGAAAATATATGCCTCGGTTGTCCAATAACCGATGCCTAATGGTACTAGTGCCTCGGTTCTGAGAACACTCGAGTTAATAAGCTGATATTTCTGCACACCTTTCAAAATTCTACACTCCTAAACCCTAAACGTTTCTTTCCTAATCCACTAAGCCACAAATGCATCCCATTTTCTCTGCATTTTTGCTACTGCCAAGGCGGTCCTCTCCACGACGACATTGGTGGTCGTCGCTGCAATGGTCATCCGTTTGGTAGCCAGCGAGATCCTTTCGCCGGAGTTCATGTCATCACCACTGCAATTGTCCTTCTCCAGTTATCTCCAATCCCGAAACACACCACCACCGCGGAACCTGCAAAATGTAGTCAGCCGCCCAATCTCCTTTGAGGGTGCAGGTTACGGCGGGTGCTGCCCTTGGCTGCGGCGTTTATCTCCAAGCCGCTCCAGATCGGCGAGCCCTCCGTCGTCGCCGTTTGAGCGAGAGCTAGAGCGAGGGGTTGGACCAGAACATCGGCGTGAAATACACGATGAGGAGCAGAGGCAGGCAGTTGGTAATCTGTGACAAGGGAGGAGGGCGAATCCGCTGGGAGGCTTGGGCTGTTGAATTGGAGGAGGCGTTGAGATGCGGTCGTGCGCAGGTTCTACTAGGCATGCGGCTGCTGTGGGTTTGGGTTCTCAGGTTGGGCCTGTGGTTGGGGTTGGGGTTGGGGCTGTGATGGTGGCGGTGGCTGAGGGTGAGGATGATCAAAGGTGGGTTTTTTAATGATGGGTTTGGAGATCTTTTTAGAAAGCTTGTTGAGGTGCCTAAGATATTGATCCCTGGTGTGGGTGGTGGTGTTGCTATAGCAGAGCTTGTGGTAGGAGGGACGCGTTGGAGGAGCAAAGGAAGGGGAAGAAAATATTTTGCGAGCAGGAGGAGTGTTGGAGGACGGAAAGGATCACCGCCATGGATCGCCACCACCAGGATCGTCACCACCAAATCCCCATCCCCAATTTTATTAATTTCTGCGTTGTTTTCAAAATGTATATTACCTATTTGCAAGAAATTTTGTTTTGGTTTATACTTGATTTTGAAGAGAATTTAGTGTGTAAAATGTAACTGAGGTTATTTGATTATGCAGATATGTATGCAGAGAGTCGTGTGGAGAAGCCACTGCCTATGTATGTGCCAAGGGATGAACGTTTTGAGGAGTCGAAGCATAACACATTCACAATGAAGAGGCCGAAGGCAGTGCTCCATAACTTGATTCCTGGTCTTAAGGCCAGTCTTTTTGTTAGGTCAGAATCTGATAAAAAAAGTCTGATATACCTCGGTTGCATTTGAAAAAGTCTGATAAAAAAGTAAAAAAAGTCAGATAAGAAAAAAGTAAATAAAGTACACTCTCTACTGCCTCGGTTGCATTTGAACCGAGGCAAAAACATACACATTTTTACCTCGGTTCATGACCGAAGCAAAAAGTGATAGACTTTTTGTCTACCTCGATTGTAAAATCGGTGCGGATAGACAAAAATAACCGCTATCATTTTTCTTTACTGTAGTAGTGTATCACCCATTAAAAGTCATCCAATAGGCTTCTACTAATTTTTCCGCTTTAATGAGATTCAGTGATAAATATGATTTGGAAGGGTGAACACCAACGTAACATATATACTTGATGAAAACATTAGGAACATTGGGGGTATCATGAAATGGGAGAGAAAAAAAGAAATGATAAATGCAAACAAGCAAATTTCTGATTTTCTCTCCTATCATGACATACTATAAAGTTGTTCATCTCACAGGAAGAGAAAAATGAAGGAGGGGATAATTATACTTAAACAGTTACAAAAACAAAGAAAGGGGAAAATAAGTGATTTTGTTATGTCTATTTGTCAATTTGATTAAGTTTGCCCAATCCATTGCAACGAGCACAAACGATTTGAGTTTGATCCTTTCGTGCTGCATTTGCTCTCAATCTCACGTCAGCCTTTCGAACAAACCCTGCTCCATCACATTCAGGACATCTGCCAAAATGCATATTCATATATCATTAGCGATACAAAATATTTTCTTAACAAAATAAGATATGCTTATATACATTCTTTTACATGACAACTTAGGCTTAAGCTATTTAAAAAAAATATATCTTACTGTTCTATAAGTTCTTATAAGAGGGTCTGAATAAAGCCTATATATGCATTCATTTTAAGTTTAAAACCTCCTTAATAAGAATCATTCCGTGAGAACACTATGAAAAAAAACTCTCTCCATCACATTTCTAGAATATTACTGAAATGAAAATAGTTGCATGGATTCATAATTTTGGAAATCTCTGTCATTATAAATAAATAAGGCTAGATTATATTATATACAAATCTTACTTTATAATCCAAATTTTTAGAATTGAATTAAGTTTAAATATTCACTTTTTAACATAGTTATAAAGACATGTCAATTTATTTTAAAGAAGCTTCACTAGTAAAAAAAGCCCTTTTTAACACGTTATATATACCCCGGTTTTACTAAAACCGAAGCATATAAAAACGCGGTGGTATTTTTGTAAATATTGTGTAGTTATATGCCTCGGTTGTATATTAACCGATGTCTATAAACTTTACTGTCTCGAGTAAAAGGCGAACCGAGGTAATTTCCTGTGACTGAAAGGCTTTAGGCACCGGTTAAAATTTGACCGAGGTAATACTCTGAGATTAGGCACCGGTTTAAATTTAACCGAGGCAATACCCTAGGTTAAAAAACCAATTTCTCTTTGGCACTCTGCACTCTCGCGCGCCCTCTGCCTCTCACCCTCTCGCCCTCTTCCCTCTTCCCTCTTCCCCTCTTCCCTCTTCCCTCTCGCCACTCGCCCTCTCCCCTCTCGCCCTCTCGCCTCTCGCCTCTCGCCTCTCGCCCATCGCCCTCTCGCCCTCTCGCCCGTTCCCCTCTCGCCCTCTCGCCCTTTCCCCTCTCGCCTCTCGCTCTCTAGCCTCCAGTTTCTCTTCTCCACCAAACCCCAACCTCAGGGCACGCCGCAAGCCGTCGTTCAACCCTTGCCGCAAGCCGCGTTCATCCCTTGCCGCAAGTCGCCGTTCATCGTCACGGTAAGCCTTCTGCCCTCAAACATTCATAGATCTAAACCCTCTATTAGGGTTTCTTCTCCTTTTCACCATTTCCCTTCGATTCCACCGATTAAAACCTTGTTTTCACCGTTAGAAACATTTTCCACCGATTAAACTTTGATTTACACCGATCAATGGGTCCAAAATAAGTTTCCTTTTTCTTCTAGGGTTTCTAGGGCGGAAGAGGGCTTTAAGGGCGGCGACGGCGGCAGTGGATGGAGGCTGTTGTTGTTGGGGTCGAGGAGGACGAGGTGTTTGCAGAGGCATGCGGGACAGAAGCCGGTGAAGGCTTCGTCGGGGTGGCGGGGCAGAGGCGTTTGCAGAGAAACTTGGCTTTCTGTTTCACCATGTGCGAAGAGGAAGAAATTTGGCTTTTCTGACTTTCTGTTTCATCCATCTCTGAGTTTTTTCTGAGTTTTTCTGAGTTTTTTCTGTTGCTGTAATATTGCATCTGAGAATGGAATTCTACTGCATCTGTAGAGACAATTTTCACATTATGTTGTAATATTGTTTCTTGTTTGATTCTGTTATGAAATTCTTGATTGTTTTGTTTTAGATTTTTGAATGAACGAATGAATCAAGTTTGGCGTGACAGAGTGAATGAATTTTCTTATCTAACTTCTTTCATTTTTAACGTTTTTAACGTTTTCAACCTGGGATTCTGTGTTCTGGGTTTGAAAAGAATTAAAAAAAAATCCTACTACCTCGGTTGAGGTTCTAACCGAGGCCGTAGAGACCAAAAAATAACCCGGTTTAGAACCGAGGTAAAAAGGTTATCATTTTTTACCTCGCCTGAATATGCCTCGGTTCAAAAACCTGTGTCTATCAGTGAAATTAACCGGTGCCGTATCGTTTACCTGTACTAGTGCTTGTTATTTGCTTTTTGACATAATATTCTCTTACCCACCTTCTGCTTATTTCCATTCATGACAAAATCATCCTATAGACAAACACCTACTATAGTAACTGTTTTATTAACATTAACATGATATAACCATAAGATAAATCTGTATAAGAAAGGAATATGGTAATCACGACAATGTAAAATAGATTTATACAATTGTTCTGTCACAATTCATCGTTGATATATCTCTTAAACTAACATGTTCTATCATAAATTGTTGTTTGAATTTTTAAAGTATGTATTGTAAAGATCAACTCATGTTTAAACAACTAAACAAGCATGCTTATAATCCATGAAAACCTGCAAAAAAAATGGTAATTTATTTAAAAAATTATACTGATATATAATAAAAAAAAATAGATTTACGTGTCTTTGCGAGAGAAGAAGATGGGGAATGCGGTTCCAACGAGTGCGACTGCAACCGCGCCGGCAACAAGGTAAACGGTGCTATCAGCAGAAACGTCTCCGACAGCCGAAACAACAACCCTGGAAGATCTAGTCTTGTTCCTCTGAATGGAGGTGCAGGGTAACACAGGTGGGGCAGCAAACGACACCCTAGGGTTGGAAACAGCGACACATGCGGAGAGTTTGGGCGCAACGTTGGGAAGCATGGTGTTAAGCGGAGTGATGGAAGTCATGTCGGTGGCAGAAAGAAGATCGGAGAAAATAGCGTCTGTTTGTGGATTTTATGGTTTCACCATTCTGGAAAATGTTTGGATAAGGACACGTCACAAGTTCAGATTTCCTACCAACGTGGATAAGACATGGGACCCTCTTAAAACTAGGATTAGTAGTTTAGTATCATAATAATAATTTTTAATTATAAAATTCTGTAACTTATTTATAAATATAAAGGAAAAGTGGAAATTATAAATATACTAACATATTAAAAAAAAATCATACTAATCTATTTGACAATTTTATCTCACATAAACTGTTTAATCATTGTTTGAATAGGAATTGATATTTTTTTTTTGATAGTGATATTTAATAACATTATGATGGTAAAACTATAAAAATAATATAAATCTGGTTAATTTTTATAATAATTTAAAAATCAAACTATACTGAATCATATTTAATTTGTTACATTTAGCTTAGGTGATTATTTAATAAAATTAAAGGAAAAGGAATTATATGTATTTAATGAATAAGTAAGTGATGTAAATTTTTGAGTTTTTAAAATTTAGAAGTTCTGAATAACTGACGTTGTGGATAGGACAGGGTGTAAAAACTGTCTTTAGTGGGAGAAAGATGTTAACCACATGAAAATGAAGAGGATAAGTGTGATGTATCATCTTATTCAAGTATAACATTTTTTTTTTAATACTTTAATGTCTTAATAGGTCTCTATTTTTGTTCAGAATTTGAAATAGGTTTTTTTATTTTTTGGCGTCTCAATTGAATCCTTATTTTTATTAATTTGATGCAAATAAATCCTTTCCGTCAATTTCATCAAACGGTGTTAATGAATGTATGACGTGGCCTGAGGACAGGATTGACACGTGTAAGGCCACGTCACACATTCATTAACGCCGTTTGATGAAATTGATGGAAAGGATTTATTTGCATCAAATTAACAAAAATAAGGACCCAATTGAGACGCCAAAAAATAAAGGAACCTATTTCAAATTCTGAACAAAAATAGGGACCTATTGAGACATTAAACCTACTTTTTAAAACTAATCAAATTATACAAATATTTATTTGTGTAATTTTTAAAGTCTTCAATGACCAATTTAATTTCTAGATTCGTATAGTTTTTTTACATGGGTGACTAATTTGAAGAAAATTTCAATACTTTAAGACTATATAACATATTTTAATATGATTTCACACGTTATATTTATTTATTTTTTAAGTTTAAAATATTAATAAATTATAATTTTACACATTAAAATCATATTTTAGTTCTATATTTTAATACTTTAGAAATTAATTGGTCTAAATATGATTTAGTCTCTAAAAAACAATATTTATTAATTTTAAACTTTTAAAATTACAAAAAATACAAAATAATATTTTATTATTTTTTTCTTTAGAGACAGAATTCAGGATATATTAAAAAGATATTTACAATTATTCAACCTTGCTTATATCGAAATTAATATATAGAAAAGAAAATAATGTTAAAAAGTACGTTATTGAATGGAAAAGGTAAAAATAATAAATACATACATAGTTATTTTACTTATAATAAACAATACACATTAATTAATTAAATTATGCATTTAAAAGTATTATTATTTTAATTTAAAACATTCTTTGTTACTTCAATAAAAATAATTCATATTTTTAACTTTTAGTATTAAATGTAAATCATAGATTCTACCTCCTTAACTTTTGATTTCTCATTTTAAGTTTTCATTTCATTTATAATTTAATGTCACAAAAGTTGAAGAGCGAGAGAGCATTTAAACCCCTCAATACTATACTGTTTCTTCTCCTATTTGTTTTTAGGTTTAATGTTTCAATAGGTCCCTATTTTCACTCAGAATTTCAGATAGGTCCCTTTCTTTTTCGGCATCTCAATTGAATCCTTATTTTTGTAAAATTGAATCAAATAGGACCTTTCCGTCAAATTGAAATGACACCGTTAAGAAGAATATGCTTTATTTCTGGGTGAAAATAATGACGGCGTCATTTCAATTTGACGGAAAGGTCCTATTTGATTCAATTTTACAAAAATAAGGATTCAATTGAGATGCCGAAAAAGAAAGGGACCTATCTGAAATTCTGAGTGAAAATAGGGACCTATTGAAACATTAAACCTAAAAACAAATAGGAGAAGAAACAGTATAGTATTGAGGGGTTTAAATGCTCTCTCGCTCTTCAACTTTTGTGACATTAAATTATAAATGAAATGAAAACTTAAAATGAGAAATCAAAAGTTAAGGAGGTAGAATCTATGATTTACATTTAATACTAAAAGTTAAAAATATGAATTATTTTTATTGAAGTAACAAAGAATGTTTTAAATTAAAATAATAATACTTTTAAATGCATAATTTAATTAATTAATGTGTATTGTTTATTATAAGTAAAATAACTATGTATGTATTTATTATTTTTACCTTTTCCATTCAATAACGTACTTTTTAACATTATTTTCTTTTCTATATATTAATTTCGATATAAGCAAGGTTGAATAATTGTAAATATCTTTTTAATATATCCTGAATTCTGTCTCTAAAGAAAAAAATAATAAAATATTATTTTGTATTTTTTGTAATTTTAAAAGTTTAAAATTAATAAATATTGTTTTTTAGAGACTAAATCATATTTAGACCAATTAATTTCTAAAGTATTAAAATATAGAACTAAAATATGATTTTAATGTGTAAAATTATAATTTATTAATATTTTAAACTTAAAAAATAAATAAATATAACGTGTGAAATCATATTAAAATATGTTATATAGTCTTAAAGTATTGAAATTTTCTTCAAATTAGTCACCCATGTAAAAAAACTATACGAATCTAGAAATTAAATTGGTCATTGAAGACTTTAAAAATTACACAAATAAATATTTGTATAATTTGATTAGTTTTAAAAAGTAGGTTTAATGTCTCAATAGGTCCCTATTTTTGTTCAGAATTTGAAATAGGTTCCTTTATTTTTTGGCGTCTCAATTGGGTCCTTATTTTTGTTAATTTGATGCAAATAAATCCTTTCCATCAATTTCATCAAACGGCGTTAATGAATGTGTGACGTGGCCTTACACGTGTCAATCCTGTCCTCAGGCCACGTCATACATTCATTAACACCGTTTGATGAAATTGACGGAAAGGATTTATTTGCATCAAATTAATAAAAATAAGGATTCAATTGAGACGCCAAAAAATAAAAGAACCTATTTCAAATTCTGAACAAAAATAGAGACCTATTAAGACATTAAAGTATTAAAAAAAAAATGTTATACTTGAATAAGATGATACATCACACTTATCCTCTTCATTTTCATGTGGTTAACATCTTTCTCCCACTAAAGACAGTTTTTACACCCTGTCCTATCCACAACGTCAGTTATTCAGAACTTCTAAATTTTAAAAACTCAAAAATTTACATCACTTACTTATTCATTAAATACATATAATTCCTTTTCCTTTAATTTTATTAAATAATCACCTAAGCTAAATGTAACAAATTAAATATGATTCAGTATAGTTTGATTTTTAAATTATTATAAAAATTAACCAGATTTATATTATTTTTATAGTTTTACCATCATAATGTTATTAAATATCACTATCAAAAAAAAAATATCAATTCCTATTCAAACAATGATTAAACAGTTTATGTGAGATAAAATTGTCAAATAGATTAGTATGATTTTTTTTTAATATGTTAGTATATTTATAATTTCCACTTTTCCTTTATATTTATAAATAAGTTACAGAATTTTATAATTAAAAATTATTATTATGATACTAAACTACTAATCCTAGTTTTAAGAGGGTCCCATGTCTTATCCACGTTGGTAGGAAATCTGAACTTGTGACGTGTCCTTATCCAAACATTTTCCAGAATGGTGAAACCATAAAATCCACAAACAGACGCTATTTTCTCCGATCTTCTTTCTGCCACCGACATGACTTCCATCACTCCGCTTAACACCATGCTTCCCAACGTTGCGCCCAAACTCTCCGCATGTGTCGCTGTTTCCAACCCTAGGGTGTCGTTTGCTGCCCCACCTGTGTTACCCTGCACCTCCATTCAGAGGAACAAGACTAGATCTTCCAGGGTTGTTGTTTCGGCTGTCGGAGACGTTTCTGCTGATAGCACCGTTTACCTTGTTGCCGGCGCGGTTGCAGTCGCACTCGTTGGAACCGCATTCCCCATCTTCTTCTCTCGCAAAGACACGTAAATCTATTTTTTTTTATTATATATCAGTATAATTTTTTAAATAAATTACCATTTTTTTTGCAGGTTTTCATGGATTATAAGCATGCTTGTTTAGTTGTTTAAACATGAGTTGATCTTTACAATACATACTTTAAAAATTCAAACAACAATTTATGATAGAACATGTTAGTTTAAGAGATATATCAACGATGAATTGTGACAGAACAATTGTATAAATCTATTTTACATTGTCGTGATTACCATATTCCTTTCTTATACAGATTTATCTTATGGTTATATCATGTTAATGTTAATAAAACAGTTACTATAGTAGGTGTTTGTCTATAGGATGATTTTGTCATGAATGGAAATAAGCAGAAGGTGGGTAAGAGAATATTATGTCAAAAAGCAAATAACAAGCACTAGTACAGGTAAACGATACGGCACCGGTTAATTTCACTGATAGACACCGGTTTTTGAACCGAGGCATATTCAGGCGAGGTAAAAAATGATAACCTTTTTACCTCGGTTCTAAACCGGGTTATTTTTTGGTCTCTACGGCCTCGGTTAGAACCTCAACCGAGGTAGTAGGATTTTTTTTTAATTCTTTTCAAACCCAGAACCCAGAATCCCAGGTTGAAAACGTTAAAAACGTTAAAAATGAAAGAAGTTAGATAAGAAAATTCATTCACTCTGTCACGCCAAACTTGATTCATTCGTTCATTCAAAAATCTAAAACAAAACAATCAAGAATTTCATAACAGAATCAAACAAGAAACAATATTACAACATAATGTGAAAATTGTCTCTACAGATGCAGTAGAATTCCATTCTCAGATGCAATATTACAGCAACAGAAAAAACTCAGAAAAACTCAGAAAAAACTCAGAGATGGATGAAACAGAAAGTCAGAGAAGCCAAATTTCTTCCTCTTCGCACATGGTGAAACAGAAAGCCAAGTTTCTCTGCAAACGCCTCTGCCCCGCCACCCCGACGAAGCCTTCACCGGCTTCTGTCCCGCATGCCTCTGCAAACGCCTCGTCCTCCTCGACCCCAACAACAACAGCCTCCATCCACTGCCGCCGTCGCCGCCCTTAAAGCCCTCTTCCGCCCTAGAAACCCTAGAAGAAAAAGGAAACTTATTTTGGACCCATTGATCGGTGTAAATCAAAGTTTAATCGGTGGAAAATGTTTCTAACGGTGAAAACAAGGTTTTAATCGGTGGAATCGAAGGGAAATGGTGAAAAGGAGAAGAAACCCTAATAGAGGGTTTAGATCTATGAATGTTTGAGGGCAGAAGGCTTACCGTGACGATGAACGGCGACTTGCGGCAAGGGATGAACGCGGCTTGCGGCAAGGGTTGAACGACGGCTTGCGGCGTGCCCTGAGGTTGGGGTTTGGTGGAGAAGAGAAACTGGAGGCTAGAGAGCGAGAGGCGAGAGGGGAAAGGGCGAGAGGGCGAGAGGGGAACGGGCGAGAGGGCGAGAGGGCGATGGGCGAGAGGCGAGAGGCGAGAGGCGAGAGGGCGAGAGGGGAGAGGGCGAGTGGCNTATATATATATATATATATATATATATATATATATATATATATATGTTGAGATTTGTATACATGAACCAGAGATATATTGATTATTTTAAATCATTTAAAAATTCTATTATTCAAATGTTTTTTAATTTTTTTTTATAAATTAATTTTGCTGTTGAAATTGATTTTTTTTATATTTTTGTTCAAGCAAATGATTTTTATTGAAGTGAAAAATTGAAGAGTGAAGTGAAAATCGGAGATTAGGTCTTATTGTCTGTTTTATTTTCATTTAAATAAGAGATTTTTAGCTCAAGAGAAAATAAAATTAAAAGTATTATTGTTTTTAGCTTTAGTTTTATCAAGTAAAGGAATTTTTTAAACAAAAATAATACTACAAATCATCTCACTTTTTATTAATTTTCACTCAAACGAAAATACTTTCGTTCATAAAAATACTTTTTCACTTAGGTTAATTTTTTGTAGTCTTTTTAACTTATTGAATATGTATACTTTTATAAATTTAAAATAAATATAAATATTTATATTTGATTTATTTTTGTATTTGGATGAATTACATTCCTTTACAATGCATATTAAGATTTATATAACTATTATTGAAATTATATATATGAAATGATGTGCTAACCGTCTTTTCCATTTAATTGTTTGGATTTGAATGTAAGGTAAATTTCTATTTTCATCATCCGCGGTTTACTTCAGTTTAATAAAATATTGAAAAAATCCTTACTTTAAATGATTTTTAATCGAAATTTCAAATTTGAAATCAGAATGTTTTAATCCATACAAAAAAAATTTATTAGCTTTTCCACTTCTGTATTTTTATTTTCTTAAAATTTCGTCAAAATGGATTGAATCAAATTTCTAGTGATTTGAAATTATTCAATTAAAAACTATTTCAAGATAAGTTATTGAACCACACTGGGAAAATTAATATGAACCTTTCTCAATATAGAAAATATATGCACCAACTCTATTTCTTACGTTAAAAATACAAGTATCAACTTTATTTTCTTAAGATTCTTTTTATCATCACGCCTTTAGATTGTGACTCTCGTCGTGGCGAAAGCAATATGGAAATAAATATTACCATTTCTTTTTTAAATACCACAGTTAGAAAAACAGAATTGAAAATATTGAGAACTATGGATAAATATCGATACATTATTACAAATAAAAATTTGATTTGAACAAAAAACTACAGTACAGTGTAACAAACAAGTAAAAACAACGTAAAAAAAGACAGAAAAAGAGAATAATCATAATAATTTCATCTGTAAAAAAGTCTTTCTAATTATGCATTATAAAAATACAAGATCATAAATACAATTTAAACATACTGAACTGAATCTAATATGAAAACAATTTAACCCGTAATCAGTTAAATTGAATACAACCAATAAATAGTAAATACCTTTCATTAATAAGTCTTAAGTCAACATTCATCAAAAGGAAGTATTATTCAATTATACTCACTTCTTACATTTATGATTCTTACTAAAACACATCCAGAGAACTTTTTAAAAGCGGTGAAATAATGAAATTGCATGCAACAACAAAGCAAAGAGAACAATTAGGTTCAACTATAGCAGGGGACCAAGAGCTTGTCTGACAACAATATCTCATGGCCACCTCTAATAAAACAATAACCAAATCCAAATACTACATGCTCAACTGCATAAAAACAATTTAGAATCATAGATACCAGATGATGCCAACTTTAGAAATAGCCAATCAAAATCACCTAGCAACAAACACAAGTTTTCAATGAAGAAGAAAGATAATCTAGACAACATGGGTATCTTCTTTCAAGTTGTACCATCGCACACAGAAGCACCAATGACAACCAGCATTTTACTCACAAGTTTATGGTTGTCAACCTTACTTCTAAGAGGAAATGCCCGTGTATTGAAAGGTAGGATAGATCATTCAACCCTAATAAACATAGGCATAGGTCAAACTTTTTTTTCCAAAGATATTGATGTTCACTGTAGAATCTTCCTAACCATGTTCAATGAACCAAGCAACCTATATTGGTATTATAAAACTTGATTCACTCATCAAAACTTTTTCTGCGAAATTTAAAGCACAGTCAACTACATGTGACTAACTTAATATCCTTGGAGAATGTAAAAGAGGAGAAAGCGATTCTCTCCAAATGGCGACATCAATCATTCATAGCATTAATGATTGACAGAGTAGCCGCAGCAAAAATGTAAATACAACCCCCAAATTTTCAGATGTCATCAAGCAATAGAGGGAATCAACAAATTCCAGTCATTTTAACAAAAAAAAATTAAAAGGCATAAATAAGGCACAAATTTTCCTTGAATCATGCATAAACTAAAGAAAATTGGGGCAATCATATGCTTAAAGTTGAAACAACTTCCTCGTAACAGAAAGCCAGAGGAAAAACGAAACCTCCTCATGCACCACATGACATGAGATACAATAGAGGCATGCTGGCAAATAAAATATATAATCGACAAGCCATAACATAAAATCAAGCAATAATGCCCAAATTTCACTTGACATCAATCAGTAGAGTGAATATACTACCGATTCCAATCATCTTAACAAAATAGGATTGCATTATAAAGTCATAAAAACAAAAATGTTTTCTTTGAATCACGCGTAAACTCAAAAGCTTGAGGCAGCTATATGCTTAAAGTTGAAAATAAACTAAAAATTAACAACAGAAAGTCACAGGCACAATGAAACTTCCCCAGGCATCACGTAAGATATAGAGGCGTGCTGGCATTTAGTAACGAAAAATAAAAGGCAAATAGAAAAACACAGAAAACGATCATCAAGGTTTATGGTAAGTTTCAGATATCACCAGAGAATTCCACATTATTTTTTTGTTAGTATCTTAAAATTCCTTCGATCTTCTAAATAAAGTAAAGGGACATATCACAACACCTTCAAATTATCGACAGGGACAGGCTGCAAGAGAAAAATACCTATGAAAAGTATACTTGGAAATTATTCCAGATAAATGTTGCAAATGACCAGATGGACAATTTATTCATAAGGTCCTAATTCTTCTAAATTAGTATCAGACAACACGAAAAGAGGTGGAGTACGTACTTGAAGTGGTGATCTATGTTCCTTAGCACATCCTTTTACTGCTATTTGGTATCATTTATCAATAAAGTGTGAAACGTTTATCTACCCAAACCAATCACATGGAAAATGAAGTTTGAAAGCGACAACGCCACTAAAGTAGACCCACAAATATTAAGCACCACCTAACATGAGCCTAAGAAACCAAAGTTGCGGTAGACAAAGAAACAGAGCATATTACATCAACAATAGAAGTCATAATTTCCCATAACCCAACAGAACCACATTTCAAACAAAAATAAAACACCATAACTCAAGCATTGATGACTTAACTACAAAACCAATGAAATTATTCAAAACCAAAAGACAAAGAGCTACAACAACAGTTACACTAGATCCTCTTCCCCCTCATGTTTCCACCCCAACATGACATCTAAACTTCCTTTCTTCCTTCCTAACTACACCTAGTCACAACCACAGACAAACAAGCGAAGCCCTGAACTCAATTCCCCCATAGTCGTGAGTTCAACACATTCATACAGTGAACTAATTGTAACAGTTAAATGAAGATCAGAAAAATCATATTCAACCCCATAAATCAAATTTAAAATACATAACTAAAATGTAGACAATCCGATCTTTATCCAAAACTCTGAGCTAATTCAAAACCACCCTTCAGCAATTGCATAAACCATTTATCAGTTTTAGTTATTTACAGTATCAGAATCAATAAACAGACTAGAAACATTACAAACAATTAAAATTCCCCTAAATTCAACGAATACTTAAACAAACTAAAAAAACATTAGGAAAACCGAAACCCCATTGCTGTCATGGGTTCAGTTTCATTTTAGGAAATTGCAAATAAATGCGGCGAATAGGGCAACAATTGTGTCACGATGACTGAAAAAATCTTGACACTGGTCGAAACGTACTCTTTTAAAATCTTGATCGACTCCTGAACCTAGAAAAAATGGTTGTGGCAGAGCGTGATCTTCCATTGAGACGAGAGTTTCTCGTTCCACGAGAAAAGGAACTTCTAACTCTTCCGAAATAGGAAACGAGATTCCGAAAAGCAGAAGCAAAGCCCCTACTCTCCCTAGACCTACCAATAGAAGAATCCCAGGAGACTCTCCTGGGAACGCCGTTAGAGGCGTTAAACGCGCCGTCCATTTCCGTGTACACGAGGGGCAGTTCTCTACCACCGATGAGCCTGCCCACAGCGAATCCTCCCCCAGGGAGTCTCCATATGGTTAACCCCATCGTATTGTTATCATCAACTTCATCTGAAGGAACCACGCGGCGGCATACGGGGCACGAGTTCCGCACAGACAGCCACGGCACGATGCACTCCGAGTGATACACGTGCCCGCACGGCATCTCACGTGCGTCGCAATCCACTTGAAAGTTTTCCATGCACACCGCGCAGTGGGACTCCGCGTGCGCGTGGCTGGCCAGGATCTTCACCACCGGCATCGACTCGATCGCCGCCTTCGACGCTGCCCGGTCAAGGCGTACGGTGGTGCCGTCCAGCTGATCCAGCAAGTGATCGAAGCCCGACGAGCCCATGAGGAAGTCGGTCACGCCCGCGGGCAAAGGGCGCAGACCGCTGGGGCCCGGACCCGAAACGCCGTCGTTGTAGTAAAGCTCGAAGTTCCCCGAGGCGACGTCATTTTCGCTTTCGTTGGCGCTTGCGTTTTCGTTTCCGTTCCCACCGCGCAGCACGATCACGGGATTGAAGGGCGAGCCGGCGCGTGTGGATCGGCGCGACTGGGGAGGCGTTTGTACCTCTTCGAGAAAACCGGAGTGACAATCGGGGCAGAGAATGGTAGGATCTCGCTGCGGTTCTGCGACGAGGGAAACCCTAACGACGCGGTTGCATCGGTAGCACCAGAAGGAAGAAGAAGATCTCAAAGAAGCCATGATTTTTAATTTCTCTCGTTTGGATTGTGCAAGAATTAGAAAGAATTGATGTGTTTTTGTTTGGATGGGAAATGGAAGAGGGTTAAATTTTCCGGGAAAATTCTCGAGTGAGAAAATTGGTGAGGTGGGTTTTGGAACTGGTCGAAACTGAACACGATATTTAATTGACTTCCCACTTTATACTTCATTTTATATTTATATTTTTCTTTTTCCTTACCATTCACTTTATTTCTTACATAACATTTTTTAACTTTTATTATCTAATTTTATAAAGATTAAAATATAACGATTTAAAATTTACAAAAGCGTTTCTTAATTGGCAGTTACAAAAAAAATAAAAATAAAACTGTGATTTGGGAACGGAATATTCCGTCACACATTCCTTTTTAATTTTAAAAACTGTGTGTACATGTTCTTTGTATCTTCTACTGGTTTGAGTTATAATTAATAATAATTGTTATTAAGGGGAGAAAAAATGCCGATCGATTCTGACTGGATCATTATTTTCTCTAATTTTCTCTAATTTCTTGGAATAATCTGAAGAAATGACGCATGTGTATTACATTCTAAAAATGTTGACCCTTATCTTTTTAGGTGTGGTGAAACGCTAAATCACTCATCGTGTTTTTTATTCTGAAATTATCGAAAGGTTTCTTCTAGCATCGTATTTGGATATTCTACTTGCTAGTCAATAAAATGCTCTGTCAGACCATTTCATTTCATAATTTAAACATTCTCTAATGTTTCAATCTTATTCTAAATTTTATAACTTCAAATTTCTCTAAATAGGTCCATTTAATTTTTTAAATAAATTATGCACAATATTATGGATGTTATTGTTTAATTAAAATTATAATTTTATTTTAATGATAGTAAAATCTTTTATTACTACAATTACTAAAGCGAAACTGTAATTTCTTTAGCACATATTACATCTAAATTTTGTTCTTTCCATGATTATTGGTTTTTAGGAAGAGATATCCACACGATAAATTGTGGCACCCCATAAAAACTAGAATTTGAGCAAAGACGCCGAGTTATTGTCAAAAGTGGAAAAGTTATTGCTTAGTTGAAAAAGGAGTTATTTATTGGTGTCCTCGTTTAACCAAAAACTTATTAGATAATTTTTTTTTAATAATTTTTTTATCTATAAATGTTAGTGTTACTCTTTTCTCCAAATCAACCTTATATAATGTCTTAGTGGAAGAGTTCAATTCACAATTTTCCTTTATTTCCTTTCAAAGTTTCAACTTTATCCCTAACATAATCTTATAACTTCATTTCTCTAATAACTAAAAGTTACCTGTTGAAAAACTATTACAATTAAAATGCAAATAAAAAATAATTTATTTATACTAGTTCACCCTGACTTTATTTCAAATTTAAAAAAATTTAACTACTTAAAAGTTTAATTATAATTAATTACTTGTACAATAAGTTTTTTATGTGAATTAACAATCTCTTAAAAACTTAAGTATTTAATATTAGAGTACTCATAAACTTTAGTACACAATAAAGTTTGATTACATTGAATTCACAAAAATAAAAATATAACTTAAATCTAGCTAACTTTGCAAAGAATAAGAATTAAGTTGGATGTTTTCATTTCAATGATCAGAGACACAAAGTATATCAACAAAAATATCAAAGTTTTTTTTTTCACTTTGAATTTTATGTTCACTTCTTATTTTGATCTTTAGGAGATTTTTTTAGGAAGTTTTCTCATTCAAAATAAAGATAGATTGTATGTCATTATGAGAGTTTTTTTTTTTTCAAGTATAACCTTTTTATGCGATGGTATGTTATTTGTTTCTTATAATTTTTCATCAGATGTATACTTAAAGTTAAGTAATTCTTCTACTTTGACCTTCAATAGACTTTCTTTTATATATTATGTATTGAAAATTGTACTTCTCGTGCTAAGTTATTTGTTTCCTATAATTTTTCATCATATGTATACTCAAAGTTAAGTAATTCTTCTACTTTCACCTTCGATTGATTTTCTTTTATATATTATGTATTGAAAATTGTAGTTGTTGTGACAAGTAACTTTCCCATTCAAAATAAGAGAAAACTTTGTCATAACTAAGATAATTTTTCATCCAGAGGTATTCAAACTTAAGTGATTCGTCTACTTTGATCTACAATGGAGTTTGAAATACAGGAAAATACTAGAAATGGAGGTTTAAATAGTATTTTTAAAGCTTTTTCACAAATAGTGATTAAGTTCTTTGGTAGTAGTTAGACAATCTGCATAGTAGTTTAAACACTTAGTTAAATAGAACGTTTGAATGAAAAACATTGTTTGAAAACAAATGCTATAAATCACACTTTAGTTTTACACTGGTTCACTCAACTTGAGTTACGTTTAGTTCTCCCTTAACAACATGGTAAGAGGTTACATTAATCTTTTACAAAGATTACAACGAGTACAAACCACTCTTGGTATACAAGTATTATTAATCACTTTTGGTTTCAACTGTAGTCAACTGACTAGAATGAGTTTAACCACTCTTGGTATTTACACTAGACAACTTGTACAGAACATTTAACTCAACTGAATTAAACAAAATAAGTGTTTGAATTCATTTCTAAATAAACACAAGTGATTTGGTTTCTTACAAGACAGAAGACAACTCTCTTAGAGAGGATATATGAATAATATAATGAACTTCTGAATACTTGTAAAAGATCTTTTCACATATGAGTTATAAAGAAATTAGCTTAGAGAGAGATAGTGAGCATATAATAATTTTGATAGAAAAAGTTCTTTTTTTTTCTTCAGCACTTCTCTTAATATAGGCATCTTTGAAAAAGATTTGTTACTTAGCGCTTTTACTTTCTTCTAGGTAAGTAGCCTTTATGATAGAGTCAGGAGCTATCTTTCTTCCTTACAGAGCAATTGTGTTGTGTACAGAAGAAAGAGGCAAAAGGCATGTAAGAAACATTCTTTAAATATCCTCATGTATCTAAACGTTCTTCGGATTTTGAGTAGACTTTTGAATAAAGTTGATAATCTGCACAGAAAAAGAGAACACAATATAACAAACAAAAAAGTACTTGAACATACATGCATTCAAGCCATTAGACGACCTAGCCATTTGATATGTTAGACAACTTAAGTACTTAGGCATGATTCTTGGTATAATTGTTTGACGTTAGTCTGTTTAGAGTAACTTTGTAAAGATATTTAGTAATAGCAAAACTTGTGTTCAGACACATTGCCTTTTTGTTCAAACGTTATGGCGATTAAACACTCTGTTAGGAATTCTATAGCGTTTAGGCTTTTTATGTATACGTTAAATGCCTTATGGTATCAAACGTTCTCATATCGTTTAGTTGTCTTTAAAGGTAGTGTTTGACACATTTAATCGTTAATATAGACGATGTAACATTATTTCATTTAGACGTTATGTTAAACTTCAAAACAATGTTTGTTTAGACGTTCTTGTCTTAATAGATTTCTTTTATTTATTATGTATTGAAAATTGTAGTTTTTGTGACAAGTAACTTTTTCATTCAAAATAAGATAAAACTTTGTCTTAACTAAGATATTTTTTTTATAAAGTATAGCAACTTTTATGCATGACCTTCACTTTTATGCATAGTTTTTTTGCTTCAACTTCGTATCATTGTTTTTGTTAAAGATATGTTCAAATTAGTATTAGGTATTGTTACATGGAAGTTTGACTTTGTTGCCAAGTACACTAAATTACATTAATGAATTTAAGATTAGAAGTTATAAATATAACAATATATAGTTCATATAATAAAAACATGTTTAAATATATAACATGTTATAAGCAATTTTTTTATCAAAGAGATAACTTTTATGTGTTTATACGAGCGCACTTTAGACGTTGGTATAAACATATGTTTGAATGTTTCTTCTTGATTTATTGATGAATTATTTAATTTTAATAAGTTTTTGTTTAGAGTGCAACTTTTGTCAAATCTTATTCTAAGACTTGTAATTGAAAACATTTATAATGTATACCTTTAAGTGTTTTTAATGATTGAATGTCTTTTTCACCTATCGTATACTCATGTATTTTTATTATTAGTGCTTTTCAAAGTTTCCAAACAACCATGATGTGATAATGAATAGAAAAGAATTTACTTCAAGAAGATCTTGGAAAAATATTCAGAAAAAGAAAAGTTAAACATAAAGAATGTTTCACGATGATTCTAAAACTAATAGAAAGTAGTTTTTCATGTAACAAACCTTTGTTTGTGTACAAAGATGGTTTGTGGTGCATTTCGCAACTCCATTAGTAGAATAATTTTCAACTCTGCATGAATACAAGGATAGAAAGGAAGTGTTTGGTTACTCCTTCTCACATACAACCCTATTTATAGAGTACACATGTGAACTTTGATTACAAATTTGACCTAATGTAAGAGTTATGTTTTTATGAAGAGTGTGATTTTTTTTCTTTTCAGGAGAGACGTTATCTTAAATGATATTCAAATGAAAATTTTGTTTCTGTAGAAGTTTAAAGTTTGAAGATTTTGTGTTTTCAACTATGAAAAATGATTATTCAATTTTAATAAGTTTTTGTTTAGAGTGCAACTTTTGTCAAATCTTATTCTAAGACTCATAATTGAAAGACATTTATAATGTATACCTTTAAGTGTTTCTAATGATTGAATGTCTTTTCCACCTATCGTATATTCATGTATTTTTATTATTAAAGCTTTTCAAAGTTTCCAAACAATCATGATGTGATAATGAATAGAAAAGAATTTACTTCAAGAAGATCTTGGAAAAATATTAAGAAGAAGCAAAGTTAAACATAAAGAATGTATCATGACGATTTTAAAACTAATAGAAAATAGTTTTTCATGTAACAAACCTTTGTTTTTGTACAAAGATGGTTTGTGGTGCATTTTGCAACTCCTTTAGCAGAATAATTTTCAATTTTGCATGAATACAAGGATAGAAAGGAAGTGCTTGGTTCCTTCTCACATCCAACCCTATTTATAGAGTACACATGTGAACTATGATTACAAATTTGACCTAATGTAAGAGTGTATGCTTTTATGAAGAGTGTGATTTTTTTTTATAGGAGAGACGTTATCTTAAATCATATTCAGATGAAAAATTTGTTTGTGTAGAAGTTTAAAGTTTGAAGATTTTTGTGTTTTCAACTATGAAAAAT